TAGAGAAACAGGTGTAATACTTACTTATGGGTGCCATGGGCAGACCTAAAAAACAAATTAGTTGTTAGTGGATATTTGTTTGAAAAGAACAAGTTTCCTTCTAAGGAGGAATATTTGTGTAGGGGAGAGGCTTATGTGTCATACACCTCTTTGTTTAAATGATTGTTCTATGACTGTGTATTCTTGGGCAAGGATGTGACCTCAGTTTCTTAGTCCTTAGTCGCAGGTTGCTACACAACAGTTAGTAATGAGTAGGGCAGGGACAGTTCCCAATAACAACAGAAAACAGTAGAAAAACAGACTAAACTTACCTCCGGGTGCTGAAGATGGACCAGCTAAAAGACAGAAAAATATCTTCACAACTCTTTTCTTTCCAACTGTAGTTTCCCCTGCTACTTAAGAGTTCCTTCTTGGTAGGTCATTTTAACAACAGGGAAAAAAGTTACCTTTGGTCTTTATGTACGTTTAATGTAAGTCAGCAGGATTTGAACTTTCTAAAGAATCATTAATGACAATAGAATTTTGATCATGGGAAGGTAAGTGGTTATGGAAGCTTGTACCCCATACCCAGAAATCCTAGTATAGCTGGGGAAAGGAGAGGTTTCCACAGTGAAGGAAACATGGAATGACTTACTGAGGGCTTGTGGAACTGATCCAGCTGGAAAACAGAACAGAAAAAACCATCTTTTCCCCCTTTCTTCCCCATTCAATTTGTTTTTCATTTTGTGAAGCCCTTTGTAACATGTCATTTTTAACTGCTGGGAAACTCTCCTCTCTGCTCTTTATTTTTTATGTAGATCAGTGGAGTTTGTCTTTTTCTGCAAAATTATTAAAAAGCTGAGAAAATTATTGGTAATGAGAATGCAAGATGTCAAAGAAATAGGAACTTCTAGTCCCTAAAACCCTATAGGATCAGGAAAATTTTCCTCAGATATCTTGAAGTTCAAATGTGGAAAACAGATTGAGTAGGGCAGGAGGTCCAAATGAAAACTGTCTTAGAAAATTCTTATCCCCTCCTTTCTCTCCCATCATTTTTCTCTTTGCTGTAGACAGTCTTGTGTTGGTTTCTATAACTAAGCAAAATTTATTCTCCCCTCTTCATATTTATGTAAATTAGTAGTGTTAGAACTTTCCAGTACATCGTTAGTAACCCAGAGGGATTTTGATAATGAGGTAGCAAGAGGTCAAGATGCACCTCAAGCCCTTTGTATCCCAATATGGCCAGATACAGAATTTTGGATCCCACTAGAAACCAGTAGAACCCTGTGGAAGAGAACAGAATGAACACACAGACTTACTGATTGCATGAGGAGTTGATCCCGCTGAAAAGCAATAAGAGAGATTTTGTATTTCCCCCTTCTTGTTTACTCTTCTATTCATTTTTTCCTATTGATAAATTTCCTAGTGATATAATTGCATGAAAAGTGTTTAAAATCAGTTTATTTGAATTTTCCAGCAAACATAATCAGCTGATGGAATTCTGGTTAATGGAGAAGCAAAAGGGGGAAAAAATAGGAGTTTAAAATTTCTGTACTGGAACTCAAATTTCAATAGACATTGCTGGACTTTGATAAGTGCACAGCAGAGACAAATAAACAACTTACCATTTGCTTGTATAGATGACCCAGCTGTAAAACAGAAATATTATCTATGTCTTTTTCTCCCATTCATTTTTCTCTTTTGTATGGAAAGTCCCTAGCTGACAATCCTTAGAACCACTGAGAATTTTTTTTCTCTGCTCTTTAATTTTTATGTAACTCAGTGAACATTCTAGAAACTTATTGATAACCTAGTGAAATTCTGAGTATTAGAAAAATAAGGAGTCAGAGAAATAGGAGCTTTAAGCTACTGCAGTCTCAATATGGATGGATAAATTTTGATTCAAGTAGATCTGTGTAGATACCGCTGGAGACAATTGAGTTCCATCACAAAGGGAGATATTCAAACTTACAAGAGGATCCTGAAGCTGGAAAACAAAGAGAGAAATCAGTGTCAAAATGCCGGTGAAAGATGGATTAGTTTTCCTGCTGCTGTTCTGAGAGAGATTATTAGAAATATCTGTGGAGAGAGAACCCTTGTAGGTGTTGTAATGCAGTGCACTGTGGTGAGGAATACAGTTGCCTTCATGCCTTGGGGGATTCTGCAGCCACCTTAGTCTGGGAGGCTGCAGGAGGGGGAGATGATTGATCTCTTCCCTTTTTGCATTGGCTGGTCAACCGCTTAAAACCACAAGGGGTTGGTAATTTATGCTGTGCTGCCTTCACATTTTTTCTTCCTATTTCTGCTATCTGGCACAAGGTCTCATTCACTCATACAAATATGCTCCCTCCCTTGCTGATAAGTCACAATAAACTTGAGATAGTTTCCTCTATTTAAAAATATAATGTAATACATATATCTGTATGTACATGTATGTATATAATATATATTTTGAGTTATTAAATGGGGTTTGTATTCTCCTTCATTCATTCTTGGGGTGGGGTGCAGCTAGATAGTAGAATAAGCAAAAGACAGGGACACAAATTTCTATTATCTAGAACCTATAGGAAGCTGAAGATGACCATCATATAAGAAGAGGCATGGAACTTACTGGACATTTCTGAAGTTTCAGCTGATGGAAAAATGGAAAGTGTGTGTAGAACCAAGAGAACTCAGTTCTCCTATGATGGGCTTAAAAAGAGTAATGGCAGAGATGATGCAGGGAGCGCTGAAACCTGCTTGTTAGCTCAGAGCATTGTCTGGGCTTAAGCACCCATCCCTGTGCTTTGCATCCTCAGGCCTGCTGCAGGAGAGAGGCCATCCGTTCTATTCCTTTTGGGTATGGTAAATGTTTGAAACACTTACGGAGGTTCATGTGGTCTTGAACTTGTACTTCTATGTACTTCTGCCATTATTGTTTTCACTATTCTTTTCCTACCTGATCTTTTAATTGGTTTGAAAAGTTTTCTTCCCACTCCTCCTCTTACTAATTCCACTTGGACCACTCATTTTTGTTAATTAAAAAAATTAATCAATGCCTTTTGCAATTTCTCCAAATCACCTGTAATTTAAGGGAAAGCTAGGAAGGAATAAATGTAGCAGTATAATTCATTTATACATTACTATATATTTGAAAGCATTTACACATAGGGGAGAGGGAATTACATAGGGAAGAAAAGAAGGGAAAGGGAGAGAAATCTGTGACTATTAGGGGACTTTGGTCCAGATAGGACCCTTCCTTTAGCCACAGTGTGAAATGATTTGTGATTTTTCCCTTACAAGAATTGTGAGAACTTTCAAGTCTGTAAGTCTTGATGATAATCGTAAGTACTGAGAAGGGCAGCCTTGATTTAGGGGAATAGTTAATAAATTATGGCTCATACTCATCTACAATATGAAGCTTATTTAGAACGAGCATCTAGGGCTGGCAACATCCAGTTTTAGTGGTCATAGTATGACTGTGTGGGAGACTGCCTGCCATCTCTACATTTTGAATTCCTTTTTCCAAGATATCTTGTAGGACTGTAAACTCCACAGAGCACCAGAGATCAACCACATCTTTCTCTCTTATTCATAACTTTATCCCCAGTGCTTGGCTCAGTTTCTGATACGTAGTAGGAGCTCAGCTAGTTGAAGGAGTGTCTCTGTACACCTGACTTGCCTTCTGATAATTTCCTCCAATTTGACTTAAACTTTGGGATGCTTTTACTTAATTTTCAGACACAGAATTTTCTGTGACATGGGGTTGGTTTCAACACTCTAGATTTTGACCTTGGCTTTTCCCTTGTTGATCACAATACAAACTTGTCTTCCACTTTCTTCTACCTGATGAGTCTGTCAGATCCTGTAGTTGTAGCCCAACTACTGTCATACCCTGTTTCTTGAAGCTCTGTTGGGTATGTGTGGGGGTAGGGGTGTGTGGAGAGGTGTTTGGGGTGAGGAGGCAGGATGGGACATGAGGAAAAGGAAAGGCCTCAGGAGAAAAGACAGAGAACTCAAGGTAGACTAGATCCTGAGCAGCACTCCCTGGTAGACTTACCCCAGGAAACCAGGGAGGAATCTGGTAAGACCTCAGTCTATTTAAGTTTGCTTTTCTTTTTCTTCTTTTACATTTATTTTGAAATTTTGCCTTCCTTTTCTCATTTTCTCTACATTGTCTCCATTATCTTTGAGTAGGCCCTTTATCGGCTATAAAGCACATCAGAACTGGAAAGCTACCCTTATTATTCTTTCTTTGTTACATTAGAAAATTCTATATTGTTACAGAAGCCATTATGACCATTACTGGAGGAATTTTCTTACTCTTCTTCTATAAAAAATAATTTTCCTGTAAACTAGGAAGCATGAAAACATGTCTAAAACCACTATTTTTATGGCAATAGATACATTTAGGACAGAGAACAGGCCCTCTAGACATTGTTGATGTTCAGAGAACACCAGAGGAAAGAAATAGATAAGGGACTTACCACTAGGTCCAGTATATTGTACTAAAAATAGGAAAAAACAAATTATTGTGATTAATAAACATGAAAAATACATGTACCACTGATGTTTTCTGAAAGAGAACAGTGAAAATGGTTTCCTAGGAATTACTAAATCCCAGTTTTAGGATTAAATATTTTTTACTGCACTGCTGCTGGACTATAGCCTTTCTGTAAGAATCAGATCTTCCTTGAGGAGACTTTTAACCTTGTTTTAGTTTGAAAGATAACCACTTCATTGTTGCCTTTCTCTTATAGGTGTTTAAGGTAAAATTTTAATTGTATTCCTTTCCCTTCATTTTCCCTCATCTTTTTTCCTTCACACCATTTTTGTTTCACTCTCTCAGCCATCTTTCTCTTGTCTTCTTGCTCATTTCTTATGTCCTCCCCCAGAACGTTCTTCTAATGATTATTGACAAACCACTATTATTACTATTAGAAAAATGTTATTCTACCTATTATGAATTGAGTGATATATGAGTTTATATATATATGTGTGTGTGTGTGTGTGTGTGTGTATAATACAGATAGGCAACTTACCAATAGGTCCTGGAGTTTGCACTAAAAAAGAATCCAAATTGGCATATTAGTATGGGTGTTTGGTTGAAGAATACATTTTTTATTAATTTTATTCTAGGGGTGGACTTTAGAAGATAGAGGAGGGGAGAAAAAGTGATTATCAGTAATAAGGACATCAGGGAGCTATGTTAACTACAGAGGAAAGGGAGTATTAAAATATACTGCAGTATTTCAGCCTGAGGTGAGGGTTTCTCTAGGATCCTTGTCAACCTGGCAGACATAAGAAAAAAGTGAAACTTTATACTTTTCTTACCTGTCAGTAGCAGTAGAAGATACTACTGTTTCAAGGGACCATCCTGTACAAAAATATTTCTGACCAACTAATATGTTCTAGGGGTAAGCATTAAGGTAGAGAGGGAAGGATCTAAGCTGCTAACAGCTTCCAGCTTATTGGGGACTGACAGTTAAATACTGCTTTGATTAGCTTTAGTGGCTGTGGGCAAAGGATCAACATAGTCTTCAGTTTTTAATGAAAATTTGGCCCTGAGTTGATTTTCTAGCTCTGATCCTTTGGTGACCTGATAAAGATTGTTAATCTGTTACGTTACTTGGCAACATTGTTTGTTTGTTTGTTTTTGAACATAAGAATGATCCGTGAACAGTAAGCTGCATATGAACTGGGAGAACTATAAATACCTATTAGAAAGCCATAGCTTTGGGGTTCCTTGAGTGCGGTGACCATGTATCTGGGCATGTTCCTTACGAGATCCCCATAGGTTATGTGTATGGAGTTCTTAGAGATGTTGGCTCCTGGAGTTTCTAAGTCAGGGTAGCTCTCGTACTCAGCCTATGGGAGACCAAAGGGAATGGTTCCTGGGTGGGTCTGTAGAGACCTGTGAGGACTGCTCCCACAGAAGAGGGATGGCTGATGCTGCCCTGCTGGCAGGCTGTGCTTCCTGCCTTAGGTCCTACTGGTGCCAGGTGAGGGGTATGATAATCTTGTGAGTCTGCATGGTTAATTGAATCTAAAAGACCACCCTTTCTCCCAGTGGGCATCACAGTATCTCTCTTCTCCACAGCCCCTCCCTTCATGGCACTCTTGATAGGAAATATCCCCATTCTGACCCATAAGAACCAAACTTATAACTCTCATTTTGTTTTCTGTGTAAAAAAGCTAGGAAGTGGCTTACCAGTTCTGGGTATCCTGGGTTATGAGCTGTAGACAAGCTAGAAAGTTAGGTATTTTGAAAAATAATTTAATACTTGCTTTGATCCTGGAGTAGGACTCCTAGGACAGCTGCCCTCTTGGTAAAAGCCACTAAACCCTTGGACAGATGATCATTTCAAATTTTATTTTGTTTCTTTAGTTTTCCTATATTTTCTCTGCTCTTTTTCACTTTTAATTTGTAACCCCTTGTACCCTTCTTTTCCTTCTCTTTATCAGTTTTATTTATATTCATTTACACTTCTTTCTTTATATATGTATATATTTTCAGATTTTTTTCCATTACAGCTCATTATAAGAAATTGAATATAGTTCCCTGTGCTATACAGTAGGTCCTTGTTATTTGTCTATTTTATATACAGTAATTACACTTCTTTCTTTTCTAGTCTGTCAATTCACTTAATCTTTCTTCTTTCAATTTTCTTCCTTTTTATTTCCTCTCGATTTTTCTCTTTTTAACTTATATCTTCATTCTCTATCTTTTACTGTTTTATTGTACTTTTGCTCACTTGCTCTCCCCATAGGCCTTTTTGACCCCTGAGTTCTAAAATCAGAAGTTCATTTTATTCATTGCTAATAACCCATTATAACACCCAGTATGGTAGTGGAAAGAGGTCAACTAAAAGTCAGCAAAACTTCAGTCCTAACTTCGTTATTAACTAATTACTTCTCCTCTTATCTTTTTGAGGGCCTCAGTTTCCTCATCTTTAAAGATGGGTATAATACCTGCTTTACCTACCACTATTGGAATGTTGTACAGATCCAACAAAATAATGTATGTGAAAGTTAGAGAAAAACTATGAAGCATTATAGGAATCATTCAAAGAATATGGCTAGGTACAAATACAGGACTCATATTCATTCTGTTGATGACTATAGAGGAACCTCAAATCATATTTCTTTAGTTTTATAATTTAAAAAATTCTTAATTTTTGCTAGTACTATAATCCAGTGTGTAAAGTTATGTTTCTGCTCTTAGTTTGTAAACATGTAAATTATGGACGATTGTGTCTTTGAACCTAATCATTATTTATAATGTTTCTACGGAAAAATGCAATAGGGCAAGTTGCTAAAAGTTGGTGAAAATAGAACCTGACTGTCCTGTAGAGAACTTTTCAGAGCAATCAGAAATGAAAAGAAACTTAGAATTTACATATTTTACAAAATGAAGACGACCTAATAATGAGAAATCATTTGCACAGAAAAGAAGAAGTTCAGGTGCTGTGTTCTACATTTTTGATTATATATTGGTTCTAAAGAACTAGATTATATACTGAAGTGGGAACAGCTCAGAAAAGACCATCCCAGGGGAGTATTTTTTTCGCTGTGTATTTCAACTTCATAGTTAATATCTTTTTATTGCAGAACCTCAGTGAATCCAACCTCTAGGAATTCTGGGTGGGATAATGTGGCAACGGAAACACTTGATCCTGGAGTCTGTGGGCATGAATTGTTAAAATAGACTAATGTTTTGAGCATTGTAAAAGACCAAAAGGCATTATAATTTGAGGCTTAGGTGACTTACCGATGGTTTTTTGAGAGAGCTCTAAAAAATAAATAAAAAAGAAAAGAAGTGAAAGAAATCAGTAGGTGCTTTCAGATTCTAGAGACCATAGTTCTCATTTATTTGTTTTCCCTAGTAAGAATCTCTCCCACTAACCTTGGGGTCAGCTGTAGTTGGGTAGTGGGGATGCTGACTTTCTTGCGGGGATGTTAAGACAATATAATACATATCAGGGCCTCCCATCTAAAGAATACACTGAGAGGTAAGTAGCAAAGGTACTAGTAGATATTACCCTGTTAAAACCCATGTAGAAGATTAGAAAAATCCTTTTCCATTTAAACTTAATTTTCTTTCTTTCTTCTATTATTTCATTTCTCTCCATCTCATTCTGGTCTTAAAAGTCCTTTGTGGGCTGTTGACAGGCCACTGGAAACCTGCAAGTATTTGTCCTCTACTTTATAGTTTTTATTTAGCAGTGGAATGTACATTCACAGGATCATTAATGATTTGCTAGGTAGAAGAAAACTGAAAGGTCAAGAAAATGTGGACCCCAAAGCCCTGTAATCCCAACATGGCATCCAAGGAAGGATCCTTAATATACTGCATGAAATTAAAATGCTTTACAGTGGAGAATTAGACAGCAAACTTACTGATAGGTCCCGTAGCTCCAGCTGAGAAATGGGGGTAGGGGGAGTGGGGAGAGAGAGAGGTCATTATGCTTCACCACTGTGAAGGAAATACCCATTCTGCAGCACTTACTCTAGAGGGAGTGTCATAAATGAAAACCCTAGGAAGAGCAAGGATTGCCTGTATGGCAATTCTTGGACAGGTTTCCTGTTGCATAATATAGGAGATCTACAGGAATGGAGGCCTCCCCTTGTTTTCAGTGACTATTGAAACTCTTTAGAGAGGATTGAGAAAGACTCATTTCATACTAATTTGTAATGCCTCTATTTTTTCTTACATTTTTCTTTTCTTTTTTCTTTTTTCTCATTCCATTAGGAACTTATTGTTACTTGAACAGTGAATCTTCCCTTGCTGATTGCTTTATGACTGCTTATAAGAGGCTTCCCTCTCTTTTTTCTATTTTCTTACATTAGCCTATGGGGTTTATAGTCTCTCTGCTTCATGCAGAGCTTCTTTGGAAACTCTGTAATAGAAATGCTAGGGGAGTTGAGAAACATGGTATCAGGAAAAATGGGCAGATTAGTTCTTAAGACCTGTAGGTCAGAAATCAAAGGAACTTGAGTAGATAAACAAATTCAATACTTACGAATAGGTGCTGTGAATTGCACTGAAATACAAAGAGGAGGAAAATCAGTGTAGTTTGATATTAACAGAATTCTCATTCTACCAATATTCTATTTAAAGAATTCGTGAAGCAACTCAGCTAGAGGCAGAACTATTATTGTAGGTCTGTAGATAATTTTAACATGGAAGACTCCTAACCCTCTCACAAGATCAAGTCATTCAGCATTCATCTTAGATGAAGAGTCTATGGCAGAGGGGAACATATAGAACAAAGGCTGAAGGTTGTTGGCTCTTCTCCTTCACTTCCATTCCTCTGTCTCTTCTTTCCTCTTTCCACCCCTCAGCTGTCTCAAAGGATTGAAACTCTTTAAGGGTAGGTAGATGTCAGTTTCTTTATCTTTTTTTCATCACCTCCTCCTCCTTTGTCTTTATCATGCTTATTCTTTTGCCTTCTCCTAGAACTTCTCCTAAAACTGTTTTTCTTGTAGCTCTTCCCTCAATTTAGGAAAAGCCCATAAATAGATGTTTTGATTCTTTTTATCATAGCTCAGAGAACTTTTTCCTGGTCATTATTTAAAATATGAATTATTTGGCTTTCCTTTGTCTTAAACTCAGTGACAAGTCATGGCATTTATTTCTGATGGCTTGGACATCAGGAGGTGCCAGGAGATTCAAATTCAATCAATAAACATGATTGGGAAAGGCTAGGGTATAGAAATGGAAATCGCCATGGTGAGGAGAGGGCCCTATATCCCACAGAAGACCAAAGAATGTCAGAATTAGGAAACAGAAAAGGAACTCACTTATTGGTCCAATAGCTCCAGCTAAAATATGGGAAAAACAAGACAGAACGAATTAGAATGGTTCTAATTAGCACAGGAAAATACAGTTTGCATTGAAATTATTTCTTGGAAAATATCAGAAATAGGGACATGAGAGCTAAAATTTCCTCTTCATTGGAAGAGCAAATGAAGTTCATTCTTCATTCTCCATCTTGGAGGACCCTTGTACTACTGGGATCTGACAGCTGAAGCTGCAAGTATGCAATAGTCAGTGTTCCCTCCCAGATGGGTGTTCTGTTTGTAACTCAGTGGATTACACAGGCCATTGCCTTTCTTCCAGTTGGGTTAATTTGAACTTGTTAAGCTAGAATCCATAGCCTCATCTTCTGAAGGAGGCAGTGGGAATTTCTGTCTCTTGTGGATGATCTTGGCTCTCTTATTCAACAGAATAACTTGGCCTGCAATATTTTAGTATCTAAGAGGGAATAGAAAACTTTTAGATAGACTCAGGACATTCATAGGTATGGTTAGTGGGTAAAAGGATTTGGACACTAGATGCACAAGCTTATAAATTACAGCATTCTGTTTTTAAAACACACACACCCCTCTGTACCTCTTAGGCTTAGGCTACATGTGCTTTTATGACACATCCCCAGTTTGAAGTTTGACTTTTGATTATTTTAATCATGTTTCATGTGTATACATGCTCCAGGAGGGATAGACATAGGGTGTGATTTGCCATGAGCCCTAACTTTCAAATTGTTCTTCTTCCTCTTCCCTTCAGGGTTGGCCCTGCCCTAGGTGCTCAAGTTCCGAACATCCTCAGGAATGATAGATAGAAATGTGTTAAGAAATGAATTAAACCTCAGTGGGTTTCATCTTTCTTGCCATTGGCTTTAAGGCTACTCTGTGTGGAGAATCTTTAGGGATAGAGGAGCTGGTTAAACTTAGATGAAGTGCACTCAACTCATTTCCTTTCTAAGTGCAAAGGGATTGAAACTCCATAAAGTAATGGTTCTAAACTTTAATGTTCACAGAGACCAGTTGGTGATCTTATTAAAATTCAGATTCTGATTTAGTAGCTCTGGGAATGAGTGTTAGACTGAGATTCTGCATCTCTTACAAACTCCAAGGTGATGCTGATGCAGCTCCTTGGACTCACTTTAAGCAGTAAGGCCATAAAGGACTGGTAAAATCTCAGAGCATTTATATATCATGGTTTCCATTTACCTTTTCTTTTTTTCCTGTTTCTAAATCAACTGCCTCCCACTCATCCTTCACTATTCCTTTCCAGTGCTTCTGCCAGAAATGTTTGTGGTAATGTCTTTTAAAATGCTATCCGGACACTTCTTCTAGACATAGTCTTTGTTAATAACAGGACGTTTAATTCCACACAACCATTAACGATAGCCTGGGGATCCTAGGTCAGCCACCTGGGACTCACTACCCTCTTCCTCTGAGTGTCACTGGAATTGCTAGAAAGGAACCTTCCTACCTTTCTAACTGCCAATGAATCTCAAGATTTTGATAAAATTAAAAATGATAGTACTTCCTCACAGAGTCACCTAGTTTATTAAGATCATATTAGAGAATAAGAAGGAGAAAAGAACTGAGAATTTGTTCAGGAGGAATTAAAAAACAATTCCTGCAGGGATAGGAGTGTCTTACATATTCTAACAGTGTAGTGATGCAAAGCACAGAAGAATTAAAGTACTGAAAAAGGACTCACTTATAGCTCCAGCAGTGCCGGCTGAAATACAAACACAAACAAGTAAGTTTGAAGAGACTATCGCTGAAGAATGTACATTTCATGAAGTTTCAGATCAAGTGTTTTCTATATGTTAGATTTACATGGAAGGCAGTAAGAAGGTAGTCTGCATTTCCACTTTTTTCCTTAGGAGACCAATAAAATCGTACTCCTTGCAATTATTTTTCTTGTTCTCAATTTTTACAGTCTTCTTGTTGTCAAATCTGTCTAAAAGTTTATTTTTCATAAATGACTCCATCCAACCCTAGGATGTTTCTTTTATTTTTTAATTAATTGCTTTATTTTTTATTAGCAGACTTTCCACTTTGCTAAATAAGAAAATCATTAGCTACTTAGGGGGATCCTGAAAACAGCCTCAAGTTCCTCACACTGGTAAAGCAAAGGAGAGCAGTACAATAATGAGTAGCTGTTCTCCTTTCCTCCACCTTTGTGTCTCCTTACCCCTCACCCAGTAGTAGGCTCTTTGTAAAAGACAGAAATGAACTGAGTTGTGAAACAGGGAGAACTTACATAAAGGTTCTGGAGTGGCTTTTAAGCCTTTTGTATCACCTATAAACGAAAATCGAGAATTTTGAGAAATAAATGTTTTTTTGTTTAAGCCAAAAGAAAAAAAAAGGAAAATTGACAAATATAATCTCACTTAACTTAAATTTTCAAAGAACATGGAGTGTAGGCAATCCCATCCCCTCCTCCCCAGGTTTGAGGTACAAATACTCTTGAGGTTAAAGACCAGAGACTAGAGAGCCCTAGATTTGCTACTCTAGCTCTATGACTGGTTATGTCACTAAACCTTTGAAACATTAATTTTCTAATATTTAAAATGGAAATTGTCTTTCCTGTGTTACTTACACTACAAGGCTGCAGTGAAAATTCAAGAGTAACAATGTATAAGGAGCTGAAAAATTCTATTAAAAATGTTATGGAAAGATATTGCACGCTCCTGGATTGGAAGAATCAATATTGTTAAAATGGTCACACTGCCCAAGGCAATCTACAGATTTAATGTAATCCGTATCAAATTACCGAGGACATATTTCACAGAACTAGAACAAATCATAATAAAATTTATATGGAACCACAAAAGATATCCCATTTATTTATTCTTGTTTTTATTT